GCCACTCCTGACTGAAAGAGCCAATGCCTTATTCAGGGAAGAAATCTTTCCCTCCTCCTTTAAACACACAATAGCTTGACCAGCACTAAAGAAACCCACTTCGGATATCAGTACTAGCTAACTGCTGGCCAGAATCCAATCTCCTGTTCCTGACCAAGTACATAGAGAAGCTAGCTAAAGGCCAACTATATAAGCTCTTCTAATTGAAGCTCGTATCCTAAATCCAGCACAATCTGGATTCAGCCCAGGATGTGGGATGGAAACAGCTTTAGTGACACTGATGCATTATCTCCTGCTGTCAATGGATAGAGAGTAGATTTCCATTCTCATCCTCCTGAACCTCTCTCGAGCTTCTGATATTGTCAACTATTAGATACTGCTGTCCTGCCTTAGAGAAGTCGAAGGGGACCAGGGAAATGTGGTATAATGGTTTAAGTCCTTCCTCGTAGAAAGTTCCCAAAGAGCAGTGATGGAAAATTACACCTCACCACTAGACCTCTCATTTGTGGAGTCCCACAAGAATCAATTCTCTCTCCTGTCCTATTCAACATGCAGCACCAGTGAACTGATCAAATGACAGGGACTTAAGTACTAGCAACATGCAGGTGACACACAATTCTGCCTGTCCTTTGCCATCTACAACCACATCATGACCATCAAGATACTTGGACAAAATCAGCTCATGGATGAAGCACAACTGGTTGAAGCTGAATCCAAGCAAGCCAGAGTCTGTAGTTTAGAAGTGTTCCTGGATTTCCCACTAACCCTAAGCTCTCACATAGCAGCATCCCTGAATAATGCTTTCTACCAGCTGATGATGACCTGGGCTTGGTTATACACAACTTTGTCACCTCCCATCTGGACTACAGCAATGAAATATATCTGGACACATCAGCCCTTAGGACACTCCAACTCAGACAGAATGCTGGAGCAGTTCTCAGCAACACAGGCTACCTGAGAACATCACACCTATCCTCTGCTCCCTATACTGACTTGATATTCTGTGGAAAGTCAAGTTCAAGATTTTAGTCCTTATCTTCAAGGTTCTCCACAGTCTATTCCCAGGATATCTAAAAAGATCTCCTAAAGCTTTGGGATGAAGATTGTCATTGACAGTTCTGCTTCTCAGGCACAATAGAACTTTCTACCATAAGGGTTAAACTCGTCTGTTCTGGAGACAGGATTTTCTCAGGGGCTGGTCGAAACTGTGGAATGAACACCACCCGGGAAATAAGGATCATCACAAACCTCATCATCTTCCAATTCAAATACAAGGTACATTTCAACCTTGCCTTTCCTAACATAAACACAGGGTAGTGTATACATGAAACCAAAAACAAAATCCTACCAAAACAAAATTCTGCACTGTACATGCCATTTTCACAGTTGGAAGAGGATGAGTGAAAATACACCAAGCACATGTGACAATTGTTACTTATGCTGCTTAATGCACTGCTGGAAGGTGCTCAGATACTGTGGTGATGAGGGCAATATAAGAACCTAGACAGAACAGAAAAAAACCCCAGAACCTTTGGATGAATTTTCAGGGTGTGAACAAAGTTTGTAACAGATCACAGGTCATGGAACAAAGCTGGGAATACCATGCCCAATCTGCCAGATGAGTTACCGGGTAACACCATATTACATTCCTATATAACAAGCTCAAACCAAAACGCTCAGAATAGAACTTCTACTCCAAGTACATTCGCTCCCACAAGGCACCACAACAGAACATGAATTGTGGATTTCAGCATCCAAATCATGACATTGATGTAACAGTTTTAAATCAGATCTTGCAATGAGTCTTACATTTATTTCATCACCTCATGGCCTATTCACAGTTTGGTTTCTAGTGTCAAATTACTATGACTGAAAGAAGTACTATGATTAACAGAAAAAGGCATGGATCTTTAAAAATAATAGATAAGATTATGCAAGGAGGCCAATGGGTTTTGTTTGGTTTTCTGGGTCCTTAGTACTCAATCAGATTTAAACTTGCATATGTGGCAAGACTGGATCTTTTTATAAGTGGCAGATTTGAGAGTTCTCTAAACCTCATTTTAAACCACAACTAGAACTGACAGCTGGACAGCATCAGTTATTAAATACATCCCAAACACAATCTGGTAGGATTTCTGACTTCTGGTATGTATAATGGAAGGGCTTCCTCAAATCCTTTGTATTTAAACCCAGGAGCATAAAGTGTTATAGACATTCTTAATGACAGGAAAAAAATTGAAGGCAGGATCTTATGTGATCTAAATTAGTGGGTAGTCAGTAGGTGGGAAGACAAGCTATCAGTGGAGTCATTTCACAGAAAGAATGGGGCTGGGAATCAGCCTGGAGAATAGGCACTAAAAAGCTTGAGTGAGAACACTTATTTATTGTGTCATTGATCCTGAAAGTGGGGAATAAAAACAATGACAATTATGACCCTTTATACACAGAAAGGCAAAGAATTAGTGCAAGATCACTCTATATAGAGAAGAGAAAATGAAAGATTCAAATATTATGATTAAAGGAATTGTAAACTTAAAAATCACATTTCAATCTGGAAATTTTGCACCAACTAGAATTACAAGTGAGCATATAGATGCCTATAAATGAGAGAGGGTAAAGAAGGAAACACTACGGTATTTTGTTTGCTTTATGTTTTGATAATTTTGCATATTGTCAGTTTCACTGTTTGGTTTTTATTATTTTCTAACATTTATATTGTAATCCCAAATCACTTACAAAAAGTATGGGTAGACTTGAAAATGATAATTCATTGTAAGATAAAACATTTGACACTTAATTTCTTCTTTACTTACCCACCAAGACCCAAGTGTAGGCTTTTGTATTTGCGCTGCATCACCTGATGCAATCTAACCCATAAAATGCTGCTCTTCCTGCACTGTTTTAGTTAACTGTAATGTCATTAACTCTTGGAAGGAACACAATATGCCCTGAAATCAGAGGGTGGCAGATAAACAAGAAGAATGAATAGAAGCAGTACGGTCTAATATTTAGTGCACAGAACTGGGAGTCAGGAAATGTGCTGTAGATTCTAATTCTACCTCTGTCTCTGACTCACTGTGAATGGTTAGGGAAGTTTCAACTGCTCTTTCTCTCTTTTTCTGTAACATAGGGTTAATAATCATATCCTACTATCTCTGTTAGGTGCACTGATTTCTTCCTAGGAAAAGTGGTGCAAGTGCAATATATGATTACTATTTTAAAATATTTTATTTTAAAAGTAAATTCACTCTGTAATTTAAGCCTCCACAATATTCTGTTACTAACTTGGGATCTCATACAATTTTCAAAGTCTTTTTTAAGTTTACAGTTAACTTTTAATAAGTCTCTCTTATTCCATTTCTGATGTGTTAGCTGAACTCTCCAAATGAACTTAAGGAAAGAATAATGTACTGCAGGTTAAAAAACTTAATTACTGCATTTAGAAAGCCAGTACAATATCTATCAAGTATGCAAAGAAATCTGAGAATGTAACATCTTTCAAGTCCCAAAGGATACCGCTTAAATGTTAGGGGGAAAATAGCTTAATACAAATTACACTACATCGGAAGTCACTTAATAATTTTAAGAGGTTGACAAGATGACACATGCGTGACAACTAAACGTAACCTCATTCCCTTGTGGTAATGAATTACATTTTAATACTTCAAAAGTCAGCTTCTTCAGAATGTTCTGTTCAGTTACAATATTTGTTTGGCAGCAAAAGAATGTTAACTCAGAGATACCCATCACACTGGGGCACTGAAGTGAACAAGATAAAGCTAAAACAGATGAAATATTATTACAACAGACTGTGCTATTTTGTTAACATGAAAGTCACACTAGGAACCTTGTTCACCTTTCGTTCTTGACACTAATTGAGTATCTTGGAGTGAAGTTAAACATTAAGGGACAAATCCACCAGTGTAGTCCCATTGATATCAATGGTACTATTCAGGTGTTTAAAGTTAAGCATGTTCCTAAATGCTTTGCAGGATCAGAGCGTAAACCTACTGTGACAAAGCTCTGTCCTTGTCTCAGTGGGTCCCACGCTTTCTGGTGGAGTTCACTAGCCTCAGAGGCTCACTGTGACCCTCCACATAGCCCTTCTCTCTCTAGAGGCAAAGGTCACATCCTACTGAGCCATTTTCATCATAAACCAGCAAGGGAGGTGAGGAGAAGCAACCCTCCCTCACACAGTCTCTGTTGTCTTCCAGTCTCAGTGATTAATCAGGGAGTGAGAGGGGGAGCCCAGGCCCGCCCTCTACTCCAGGCTCCAGCCCAGGGACCCTAATAGTAGCAGCTATGGTAGCTGACTTTTTGGAAATAGGACGTGTACAATTCCCTGGGTCACTTCCCCACAGCAGCCCCGCTTCCTCAATATCTACTTCACAGTTACCTCAGGGCCTCCTTCTTTGTGCCTGAAATGGTTTGTACTGCTCAGTTCCTCCAACAGCGTGGCTTCCTCCTACAGCTCCTAACACGTGCGCCCAACTGACTAACTGGGAGGCTTTTAACTAGTTTCAGTTAAAAACTAGTTAAATTTAAATTTAAACTAGTTAAACAGCCCCTAATTGGCTTCAGGTGTCCCAATCAACCTAGCTATCTTCCCTGCCTTCTGGAAAGATCTTAATTGGCCCCAGGTATCTTAATTGACCTGAAGCAGCTGCCATTTACTTACCCTGGTAACAGGGATTTGTTTAGCCTGGGGCTAATATATCTATCTCCCACTACTTTTCTATAGCCATCTGGCCTTGCCCTGTCACACTGCAGAGAATAGCAACCTTGACAACACACTCAAGATCCCAGAGAATCCCTGATAAGATTACAATTCCAAAATGAACAGACAACAAGTTATAGCTAATTTTACAACCATCATTGTGGTGTCTGATGCACATATCATAAATCCTACACAATTTGTCGTTTGTTTTAAGATCATAGTAACTTTTTTGTGTGATTGAAATCAAACTGAAGTAAACCACTGTACAGCAAACAAGGCTCACCATTAGCATCGTGGGAATACTCTATTCCAGAAACAGTGCATCTTCGGAAAACCATCTTATTTTCAGTAAGAGTACCAGTCTTGTCTGAGAATATATACTGCATCTGCCCTAAGTCTTCTGTGATGTTTAAAGCTCGACACTGTAGCTGAGTGTCGGTCTCTTCATCATATAAATCCTTGTCTTGATGAATGAAGAATACTTGGCATACTTTAACTATTTCAATGGATACATACAAAGAAATCGGAATCAGAACCTAAAATACATAAAAACACACTAATTAGGAGAAAATAGGGGCATAAATATTATATTGAATTGATATAATCTAATCAACTTTACGGCAGACTAAAATCACAAAGAGTGTATGTACTATACTGTACCTTAAAGAGTTTAATAGGCTTAGATTCAATATTGTAAAGTAATTAAAATGTTTGCAAAGAGTTTACTTGGACAGATTAGAAAAGCCTATGGTGCAACTGTAGAGCTGAAATCCATAATTATGTCTGGAAATGTGATTATCAAGGCTTGGAGAGAAGCAAACTTTTCAGGGTAATAAGATGAGCTTGAAAGAAGCTAGGAAAGGAAAAGAAGGGAGGGAGGAGAGGAACATACAATACAATCAGAATTCTGCAAATACAAAAGAATATCTTGCATCAAAAAATGGATGAATAGCTCCCAAATTTTATCTGTGTAAATAACAGGCTCTCACTAAATTAGCTTTCCAGGAACAGCAGAGGTAAAATGAATGATTGGTGGAAGGTTCTGCAGAGAAAGCAACGTTGTCAGTTGCAGTTTTTGAGCAGCAGTTCAGCTGAATGAAGAACATACTTTGTAATTGCTGAACAAAGTGTTAAGCTAAGAGAGTTTTCCTGAAAAAATTTTTCAGCAGTTTCTTGGGGATTTTCAAAAATCCACAAAAGACATAATTTCTAGTTGAATGTGCCTTGCAGATGTTTTTCAGTGCTGAAATTTCTGGTTATATACAAAATTAGGCTTGGTCAATTAGACTAGTGGGGTGAATCGCAGTCCATATGTAAGTACCAGGTGTGGTTATTTAAACAAAACCTATAGTAAAGGCTGCATACTTAAGTAAATCTGTTCTGAGTTTTCTTTAATAGAAAAAAACCTCTTAATACATTAAAATCATAATGGCAAAGGCCATTATTTAATCCATGCCTCTTCAGTGCAAGATCATTCCCTTCACTAGTATGCTATTTTCTAGTGCTCTGTCAGTTCTAGTTTTACATGTCCCAAAGACATAGACATCTACACTTCTCTTGACACACCACAGTATTCAACAATATAGCAGATCTCATCATCAGAAGACCTGCATCCTCCCAATATTCACCTCCTGTGCATAGGCACTGAATGATGACAACTCTAGTCATTTACCTCCTGTATAAATTCTAAATAGTTTGGGGCCATTAAAGGGTTAAATTCCAGCATTAACCTTGTCCTGGTAAGGTACCTGCATTCCAACACCACCAAAGTTCTAAGTAGTCCTCCAAGGTAGGCGGGTAACTGAGCTTTTGCAGCATGGCATCCCACAGAGTGTGAAGTTTGCTGCTCCCTGACAGGCACCCTCCTCATCTTAACCCATCTTGCTTGTTAAAAAAACAACACACCTGGAATGTTTGGGACGGAACCTCAGCAGGTGTGAATTGTCACAGCTCCAGTAAAGGCAATGGAGGGAAGACAATTTGGAGCATCAGTCCACTGATTTTTTTCAGAGCTCTTTTCATTTTGGTCACCATTAGCACATTAATGAGGCTCCTTTATTTTTCTGGCTACATAATATTTTATTCTTCATTTTTCATGCTTTAATTGTATGGTATCTAATTGTATTGTATTTTAAACACTTAATTAGCTCCTCAAGTTCCTTGGTGGGAGAAGTTGTGCTCTCTTTTCTCGATATATAATTATTAAAATCAGTAAACTGTGAACACAGGAACCAGTGTGGACAACATTGTTACCTGAAAAACTATTATCATTGTCAAAAATAAATACACTGCAGCTAGAACTGGGGATAAATAGTTGCCATCAAGCCCGGGAACATCGAAAACTGGTTTCTTCTCACCATATTGCCACACCCATAGGCCATGACCTGCAGAAAAATTTAAATAGACGAAAACTTAAATGAACATCAAGAAATTAAAAAACCCACAGCATTGGTTTATTTTGTATGCATTTGTCCTTAAAAGTGATCTGCAAAAGAAAAAAAGGGGAGGGGGGCTTTTGCCTTTTCCTACTTTGTTATGATTTATGAAAAAGACCTGAAATGTTTTTTTTAATATGCATTTTCTACATTGGAAACTTAAGTCCTGTCTGCCCTGGAAGACACCATGACGACTGGAGAATTAGTGAAAAGGTGGCCATCACAAAAGTCAAAGGAATAGAAGCTGAGCAACTAAGAGGGGAAGAGATTTTAGTCAGACTATTTCAATCTCTTTGTTTATTGTCTTTCTTTGTTAGTTCCTATTTAATGCAAGGAAAGTATTAAAATTTTGGAGCAGTGATGTCTTTACCAAAGATATGGCAGTCCCACCCTTTTAATTAGGGTGTGAGAAAAATTAAACATATCCTCTGAGACATATATCAGGTCCTGCCATCCCAGCCAGGAAAGACCTGAGTTGATATTTCTGATATTCATTTTAAAAATAAGCTGAAAAAACCCAAAACCTTAATACCTACCTCCTCCCCAAAACCTACCAATCTTTCAGGCCCTATTCTTTATATGTCATAAAGCAACAAAAAAGAAGTAAAGCCCATTAAAAAAAATCCTTTGTAAGGCACCTCTATCAAGTTTCTAAACTGCCCCTTGTTCCACACTGAAATAACGATACATAAAAATGACTGTCTCACTAAATATTTTGCAGCAGTGCAAAGCTTTATATTATGTATGCTCTGATATGTCTATAGCTATTTTTAATAATCTAGAGTAAAAATACTAAAAATTCTGCACTTGCAATGGACTATATCAAGTTTCTTTTTACTAAATGTTCTGATTTTCAAAAGACCTAGTGATTTTAGATATCACTAATTCCCAACTTATCGAGATATCTTAAAAGGGCTTGGTTTTCAGAGGGTGGGTACTCAGCACTCTGAAAAACCCCAGCCCTTCTCAAGATGATTCAAGCTGGGCAGCCCAAAATTGAGGACTCCCAGATCTCTAGTCACTTTTTCAAATCTTGGCCTCTCATTTTAGTTAATATTTTATAGACAATATTGATAAGAAAGTTATGGGGATACACAACTCATTTTAACAATTGGCAAAAAAGAAACAACAAGAAAAAAACCCCACTTCTGTTACTAGGATTCTACTCTAAAACAAATTGGAAATCCTTAGGATGAAATGCTGGTTTTGGATATGCGAGGTGCCCATTGAACTCAGTGGGAACAAAGAGCATAATAATAGTTTGGCCCTCAACTTTCATCTTTAAAGAGGGTATCAACAGCTGGAAAAAGACACAATTAAGGGTATTAAAATAACACAGAAGTTTTGGTAAAATACATTTAAGGTTGCCAAGAAAAATTCCAGAACTTATGTATTACACACAACCAAAACAAAACCCAGACATTACAAAATATGGAATTCAAAAGCAACAGCTAAAGAAATGTTTTGCATACAAACCTTTACACCAAATTCTCAGTCAGAGACCAATACACACATACACACACACTCTAACCAGAACCCAAACAAACTTACCCCTGCCCCTCTATTTTTGTTAAAATTTTTGATGCCAGTAACAATTCCATTGAAATCAATGGTAGTCTTTTCTTTGACTTGCCCTTTGAATTCGGACTTTATACAATTTTTAATATTATAAGTTTGGATACTTAAGTATGGTGGGTTAATATTGTATATTATGAGTCCCTGTTTTCATCTAATAGAGCTAGGTGAATGGTATTGTACTAGTTATGTTTACTCCGTGTTCATATATTACCTTGGCAACTAAGTATGTGCCAAATTCTGCCACCCTTAGTCATGATGAGTTGATTTCAAAGATACTACTTTTGAAGTAGGGCACGACTCATTGCTACTGAAGGTGGCAGAGCCTGACACAATAGTTGTCTGATTTGGTCTTGTAATGGTATATAGTTGATTGTTATTAAAAGATTACTATTTGGATGTGCTTATGTACTAAGCTGATGTTTCCTACCAGAAAAAACAACAACACACTTTACATAGAAAAGAAGTAGCTACACGAATCAAGAGACAGAAGATATACATTTTCGAATTTTTAAAGCAAAGCATGTGACTCTTAGGATAGAGTTTGGTCCTTAACTTTTATTTTTAAAGAGGACTTACCGATGGCTGAAAATAGACACATGACTATAAGTATGAGGACACACCAAAGGACATCAATATTCATCTGTCTTTCAAGCTTACTGCGCTTGTAACGTGGTCCACTGTTATTTAACAAAGCTTTGGTCTCGTGCCCTGCAGAAGCAATTACATTAAATAATATAGATATTTGTTGACAGTCTAAGGAAACTATCAAGTGAACATGTAAAGTCAAAGGAAAAGCTGTCTTTTACCTGCATAGATTACTATCCCTGTAACCTCTTCTGTGTTCCTAACAGTACATCCACGCAACAAAAGGTTTTCTTTATATAGTGCATCCTTTTTCCCACTTGTATGTACACTGCAAAAGATTTAATAACAGAACTCGACACAGATTATCCCCAAAGCTTAAACAATCAGATCCCCATTCTCTGGCCTGAGGACAAAGGACTCTGGGATTCACAAGCAGTCTTGACACCACAGGTATTCCATGGAGGATATATTTGGGTCCAATGAAAGGGAAGCGAAGGGGAAGGATGTACGTGCACAAGTGAGAGCAAGATGACTGCACTACATATTTCTTACTGACTGCTCTATAAAGAAGAAATGGCATGTACTTTATAATTATATAGGTTCTAATTGTGGCTGTACTCCTGAGTTGAGTTTTGCACTTAGAGTAGTATAAAGATTATTTTTGAAGAATTCTACAAAATATTTGTATAAGTATCCTGTATCTCTCTGTTTTTTTTTTTCTATTTTCTAACCAGTGAATTTTTCTTTTCCCCTTTCCAATTCTCAATCTCTTGAATTCCCTGGGTCCTTTTGGCCCAATTCTGTCTCTGGGAACTCTGTGATCCCTTTTTCCTTGCTCTTCTCCATTCCCTCCACAGCCTACTCGCCCTTACTCTCTTTGGCCCCCTCACTCTGATCTCCTTACTGCCTGCTAAACAGGATCAAATTAAGAATTCTTGGGGTTCTAGGCACAGAATATCCTGAAGCTCCACCTTGTTATAAAATACTTAAACTTTCCTGAGATGATTAAAAACATGTCATTTAAAGAATTAACAGCATATGGGAACAACACAAGCATCTTCGCCAGACATTAACAATTATATGTTTAGCTAAAAATTAAAAATTCACAGCTAACAGGTTCCCAGAAAACATGGCTGGCTTGATATTGTACGTGAATTTAGACGTTAAATGCCCTAGCTATTCCATGCAAGCACTGACAGAGAAAAAAGATAATGAATTCACTACAGGGGAGCAGAGGTGGGTGAGGTAATTGGTTATTGGAGCAACTTCTGCTGGTGAAAGAGACAACTTAGAGCTCTTCTTCAGTTGAACAGCCGAGAATCAATAATTTCTGGCTTGTGTCAGCATTTGTGGAAAATAGTTTTCGATCAATATGTGCATCTGAGCAATTGTTAACACTGCTGACTCCAATTACGTTAGGGAATGTGCAGCGCATGGCACATAGTCCTTTGGTGGGTTCTCTGTGACAGATGGGCCTACGGACTATTGTAACAATCAGTTGCATCACTAGCATTATCATACAATTGCCCACAGCTGTTAAGACACATCCAAACCTAGGTTATTTATTATAGCCAGCACAGCTTTAGCCAGGTTTGCTCCTGTGTGGTTCTCAAGTGGCTGAAATCCAATTATTTGGCCCTCTGAATGAGAAATCAGAAAATGAATGTGAGCTGGTCTACAAGCGCTTCATCAGGTGGTGAATCAACAATTACAGAGAAATACTTGGCTTGCTGCAATTCTCTTACTATGGTGGTTTTAATTTTCTGTCTCATCAATTCAATGAATTTGTCACCTAGAGTTGAGGGCAGGTAGGATGGCTTTCCTCTTCCCTCGAAATTTAGCAAGGTGGTCAGCCAGACATGGATCAAATGGTAATATTAGCTCAAAAATCCCCAAATCTCTTCCATAGCTTTTGGAGCCTAATACTTCATCCTGACCCCGGAAGCCAAGCCCACAAGTACGTAAACTTTGTAACTGCCACCACACACTGAAGAATGTCTAGTGGCATTCTAGTTCTAATGTCTAGTGGCAACTAGTACTGCTGTTCTGAACTGAATTGGCATGCCATAGCAGAGTCAACCCTACCATATTATGTTTTTTTAAAGTTTTAACCAAGCTAGCACACAGGTTCAGTGTTCTGTACCCCTCTCATGTTTGAAAGTTGCTTCGGATGTTTCCCATCCCCAAATCCTTTTGTAAAAGCATACAATGCACTCGAGAAAAAGCTTAATTGAAAGCAGTAAACATTTCCAGGAGATGGAGAGTAAACAATCCAATATCATGCAACAACTTCACCACCGAAGAGACAAAATGAAAAAAGTTCTTCAGTGAACACTCTTTTCTTCTCTGCAATGACCTGCACAGAAATCAGGAAGTTTTCTACATCTGCATTTCTGTGCACAGCTGTACCTCTAGCAATCCCAAACAGTCTCATTGAGTTTCATCGAGTTTTCTCCCAGCGTGGGATATGTGGAAATCTGGATGTTCTTTGTATCCAGGTAAATATAATAAGTCTAAGATATTTCAAATTAACCACTAAGTGGTAATAATAGCAACCTCTAAAAACAACTGCCTGACCACTGAAGCCAAACAGACAAAAAAGTGGGGCATCAGGATATATGAGAAACTCTTGGTAAACAAAATAACGTCTATCTTAGCTGAGTACTACTGTTTATTATTTATGTATTGACAAAACCTGCAATTACATCAGAGAAACAGGGGGAAAATGCTTGGGAGAATGGATTGCCACAAGGGAAATACTAAGAATAAAAAAATAACTTCTTACATCAGTAGCACTGTAACATTGCTAAGGGGGTGGAGGGGGGGAAGAAAAGTCAAATAACTTTTATAGACCTGCTGAGTATGAATGAAATTCCACATAACAGACTCCAGTATCTTAATGCTGCAGAGCAGATGGTGAAGGAAAATTGGAAATATTTTAACTACTGTGCATTCATATAAATAGCACTGAAAGTAGAATTCTTAATTTTTCAAAACAAATTGGAATGCAGAGCTAATAAAGAGAAATGTTGAGAAACTGAATGCACTAGAATAAAACTAAGATATCCAACTACTGTTGCTGCAGCCTCAAACTTTATTTTTATGTTTATTTTTCTATATGTTATTTTATGTAGTAGATTTTGCTCCCCTTAAGTATGGTACAGTTTAACACCATGTATTGCCAGTCCTGAGCATTTAAAAAAAAAACATGAACGAGGGCCCCCCAAATCATGAAATTGGCTAAAACATCGTGATTTTTTCATTTAAATTCTTTTTATTTGTCTTTCTTTTTATTTGTCTTAGCACCTTGAGTGCTAGAAACTTACGCTTTTTAAAAACAAATGCTGACATTCTAACCTTATTACATGCCTTTAGGAGCTGTGGCTTTAAGAACCACACCAAATATCATGAGACGAGCAGTAAAATCAACAGAATTGGCAACACTTAATCTGTGGAAACACTGAGATGACTCTCAGAGTAAGGGGCTACTCAGAGCATTACACAGAAAAAAAAGAAAACACACTCCCTCCCTCAAAGAGTTTGCGATCTGATTTAGATGACCAGGTGAGAGAAAGAACTATGGTATTGCCAAGTGTTTAGCAGTGGGAAGGTTTGGATTTTAGATATGTTATAGATACAGCAGTAACAATATCTCGCAAGAGACCAGAACTGAGGAAAGAAGGAAAAGAAACTGGTAAGATTACCTTGAGTTTGCAACTTTGAAGCACAAATGGTTTCTGACACTCTAGTAGAGAATTCCCCTCAGCATTTCTAAGATAGCAGAACATGTTTTCATTTTATTGATTTCTGAGTTACAAAAATTCTGCTTTTGTCCTCTCTCATCACTGTCCCATCCCTTGATCATGGACTTCCTAAGTTTGTGCTCAGCACAATAAGCAGCAATCATTCACTGCCAGCTTAGAAGTCTGAGTATTTGGGATGTATAAAAGATTTATACACTCAAGGGAGAATAATTTGTTAAATTATCCACAATGGACTGCAGTAATCCTACTATTCTGAGTACTATGCCTTCTCTGCTTTTTAAGACCAAATCCTCCTGCAGCTTGACTCTGAATTACCAGGATATTAGCTTAAGTTTCCAGTAAAGTGTTCAAATTGTAGTTAACTTCCCTGTTAATACGTGGACTTGTTTTTCACAAATCTACTGGAGAAGTAATAGCTCTGGTTTGTGATTTTATATCCCACACAAGTTCTTTATAGATGTTAATGACAGCGGACTGCAATATATATACACTGTTCACTACAAACTTGTGTATACGGTTATAACTAGGGCCCTACCAAATTGGTGGTCCATTTTGGTCAACTTCATGGTCATAGGATTTTAAAAATTGTAAATTTCATGATTTCAGCTATTTAAATTTGAAATTTCAGGTGTTGTAATTGTAGGAGTTGGCGGGGGGGGGTAATCGCAAGGTAATGGTGGGGGGGGTGGGGTTGCAGTACTGCTACTCTTACTTCTGTGCTGCTGCTGGCAGGGTGCTGCCTTCAGAGCTGGGCCCCTGGCCAACAGTCACCGCTCTCCGGCCGCACAGCTCTGAAGTCAGCACAGAAGTAAGGGTGGCAATACTGCAACTCTGCTAAAATAATCTTGTGATCGCCCTGCAACTCCCTTTTGGGTCAGGACCCCCAATTTGAGAAATGCTGGTTTCCCCTATGAAATCTGTATAGAATAGGGCAGTGGTGGGCATCATGGTAATCCACGGGCCACAAGACCGTTTGTTTACATTGACCATCCGCAGGCACGCCGCCCACAGCACCCAGTGGCCGCGGTTCGCTGTTCCCATTGGCTGGGAACAGTGAACCGCAGCCATTGGGAGCTACGGGCAGCCGTACCTGAGGATGGTCAATGTAAACAAACGGTCTCATGGCCTGTCCGTGGATTACCCTGATGGGCCGCATGTGGCCTGTGAGCCGCAGATTGCCCACCACTGGTATAGGGTAAAAGCACACAAAAGACCAGATTTCATGTTGGGAAACCAGATTTCATGGTCTGTGATACATTTTTGGACACCTAACAGAAATTCCAGATCATAGGCCCTGGTTTTCATATGGCAATTCAATCACCTTGACATCTGTTAGGAGAGCAATACAGCAGTGCACAGACAATCCAGAAAGTTTTTGAAGAGTGTTAGGGACAACTTTAGGGTGCAAGTGCTGGAGGAACCAACTAGGGGCAGAGCTCTTCTTGACATGCTGCTCACAAACTGGGAAGAATTAGTAGGGGAAGCAAAAGTGGATGGGAACCTGGGAGGCAGTGACCATGAGATGGTTGAGTTCAGGATCCTGACACAGGGAAGAAAGGAGAGC